TTATGCCATACCATATCTATAAATATATATGTAGTTCCATCTGAAATCTACTCTGGAATGTTGTGAGAGTGAAAATTTTAACCTTGTAAAAATATTCAGCTCATCCAAAAAGAAAAAAGAAAGGAAAAGAAGGAAGCGGATAAAGTGTAAATCCAAAATTTTTAGATTCCAGAAATTATTGAGGTGTTTTCCAAATGTTGTTTCCTTATTTTCTTTTTAAAGTCCAGTTTCTTCTGAAGACAGTTTTCTTATGGCAGGAAATAGACTAGACACACAAATATTTCTTATTGACTTTGACTCGCACTGTTACATCCAGCTACTATTTTGACTATCGTACAGATTCTCACTTAGACTTGCTACTTAATTGATATGTTGTCCTTTTATTTATGCCTCAAGTGTTGATGTCATAGTCGACACAAAATGCTTGGTTCAATTCTCAAATGTGTTATTTGATGAGTATAAAAATTCTAATAACTTAATAACTATACATTCTTAAAAGTTGAAACTCCAGATCAATAACCTGTCATATGTTTTAAATGTTGCCTAATTTTTATCTTTCTCCATAACTTATAGCTTAATTAAATTTTATTTTAGGCTGGTATCCACTCGTTAGGGATAATGTATCTTATTAATAATTTTCATTTTAAGAGACATATTTATTTTCTTTGAAATTGATTCCTTAATATAATATTCTCTGTTAATGTATCGGTTATTATTTTGATCCTTTTTAATTCATTTGTTTTACCAAATCTGATTCTATATGGATTTTTAAAGTTTTTCTTTACAAACACTATAGTTCTTTAATAATACTAGTGATGATATATGACATTGGATGGACCAAGTTCCTTTGCTTATCTGCACTACACAGTTGTTTGAGAGATTTGCATAGGCTGTGAAAAAGTATTAGTGAAATTGTTGTAATTAGCACATTTTGCTAATTTCTTATATGACATATTACCCTATTATAATTGTGCTTGTCTCTCTCTTCATTAGTTCACACGACTGTTACATCCTGCCAATGCCTCATAAATAATGGACTATTCCATTTTGATCATGTGGAAAGAAAGAAAAAGCACTATTTGGTTTCAATGAGAAAAAGCAAGAAGGGGAGAGAGAGAGAGAGAGAGAGAGGATCAGATTAAATTTTGATCTTAATCAAAAAGACAGCGTGACTGTGATAAAACACCACTTTTCAGGTGCACAGTATGACGGAATCTGAATAATGTAATCGCCAAAACTGCAGTTACCATAAATAAAATAACATCCTCTGTTGAATTAATTTAAAATTATTACTAAGGGAAATGTTCATAAGACAGGGATTTGTCTCAGAAGAAAGAAAGAAAAAAGGGAAGATAGAAGTGTTTAACATCTTTTGTCAATACTTCATAAATAATGGACTATTCTGTTTTGGTTACACAGAAAAACGAAAGACATACGCTACTTGGTTTCAGTGAGAAAATGAATGAAAGAAAGAAGAGAAGGTAGAAAATTTTAATGTCTGTTTCGGTGAAATGGAGAAGTTGTCAATTTCAAATCTTTTAATTTATACCCACTTCTTAAAATAATGGCCAGTATTCATATTTCTGATTGTTATTGCAATATTTTATCATTATTAAGCTCAAATATTTAATATGATAGTGGAATTTCTATGGAGATTTAATTGTTGTAGAACTCACCATGAGTTTATTCAATCATTAACTGAATAATTAAGATTAATCAGAAAGTTCAAATAGAAAACCATGAAATCTTCACAAATCTTTCTAGTAATAATGATTTCTGTTTGCCATTTTTTTCTTTTTCAAAATATAGTTAAAAATTGCCAGTGTTGCTTACTTCCCTTTATTCTCAAGTTGTGCTGGAAATGCTAAAATGATGATCAATTTCAGAACAGAACATGTCTTTTATTTGAATAACTGAGGAATTTAATCATAAAAACTATCAATATAATAATCCCTTATTTGTGAAGATCACAAAAGACTAGACTGGAGATGGATAACAAAACATTTATTTTCTTTTAATTTGATTTGCGAAATTTGAATATGCAAGTTAGTTATCTCTATTAAGAAAAAACCAGTAATGGTAATTTTAGCTGTTTCCTTATAAATAAACATTTAGCATTCATTGACTGAGCAGTCAGAATTACTTTCAGTTGAAATTTATAAAATCTTTCTCTTGTACCAATTTGTCAGGGAAAGAGGTTTCTCAAGCCCAGTAGCTGTTATCGCCCTTTCCAGTATTGATGGGGGTTTTCTTCATAACCTTTTGTTTGAAGTAGTGTGGAACATCAATATCTTGGTCGTTATTTTCTCTTCGAATTACATGTGATATCCATTTTAGTTATTGCTGCTATTGAAAGTCCTTGAGTGATATTGTTTCTGTCATCTGATACAGTTCTTTCTGTGATTCTCTAGCACCAATCCACAAGGTTCAGAGAAGGATGGTTCTTGCCAAAATCCACATGCTTCATCCACTCAAAGTAATTTTTAACCATTGATCTGAG